ACTGACTGCAAGTTTCTGTCTACGTCAGGTGCATCACAGTTTAGTTCCTTTGTGCTCTACACAATAGAATTTTCCCCCATTTGCACTCTTGAATGTCCCTCAAAGGTTGGTCTCACCATCAGTCCATAGTTTTCCCCTGTAGGATATTAAGGTATGAAATGAAATCCTCCAACAAAAGCTGCCCCTCGAAGCACGTGGAAACCACTCCAGGCCCAGCAGAGCCTGGGCTGGAAGAGGCTGCCCCGAGGTGTGCAGGGGTTTGGCTGGTGAGGTGTTTTGTTTCAGGCAGTTATTCAGTGGTTTCACACCCCTGTTGTTTTGGATTCCTGAGGCCTCTGTTGTGGAATTGCTCTCGAGGTCACTTGTGAGAACAGGACGGTGAAACCCATGGAGGAGAAACAGGAGGAGCTGTTGGAAAGGATCTGCCCACTGCTGTGTGCTGTGGGTCCTGTGGGAAGAGCAGGGACACAGCTGGTAAACAGGAGGGGCAGGAACACACTTGCACTGTCACCTTGGAACTGCAGGACTGGACAGGACCCTCTGCTCTGCAGGGGAAGGGGTTAGGCAGGTGAAGCAGGGGGTTGTAGAGGAGGCCAATTCCCCCTTTCTCTGTGGCTGTGAGGCTTTAGAGTGTTTCATTTTTTCATTTTGACCGTGTTTTTGTCTAATTTGCTCTGTTTGGTACCTGGCTGATCCTCAGGGCCATCTCCTCCCACAGCTGTGGGGTTGCTGTGTGTTTGGCCAGCACTTGGGGACACTTTCAAGCGTGGCTTCTTCTGTTGTTCTCCAACTCTCCTCTCCCAGCCTGATGTTCATCTCTCGGTGTTGGTCCCACAGTCTGCTCAGCACAGGTACAACCACTGGGACACATTTCCCAGGAGATCAGGGGGCAAAACCTTGGTCAGAGCACTCTACTGGTTTCACAGTCAGCCATCTCACTATTAATTAATTGTTGCTTGGTGTGACTAATCATTTGTCAGCCTCAGTGGCACTGAGGGGTCTTTGCTGGGATGCAGAGATCAATGTAAGTTGGAAATATTCTTGTCCTAGTTTGGGTTCCCTTCAGTGTGAAAGGAAGATCTGACACCACTGAGAGCTTGAGATCTTCAACTTCCCTTGTAATGTTTTTTTCATTTAATTTCTTCATAGTTGAATTTTTTTCCTTCCAACAGGCTGCCAGCTGCACTGAAATTATTGTTTTTTCTTTACATTTGGAGGCACCCAAAAATAAGTGGTTATAGTTCTAAACAAACTATCTTGAAGAATGCAAACAGATCCCAAATCCCTCTGAGTTCACTCAGCCCTCTTGTGAAATTTAATGTGTAACTTCAGTTTCAGGACTGCAAAGATTTAAATGACACTTTGGACTGGTGGTCGAGACAAAAGATTTTGATTTTTGCAACAATTCTTTTGTTTTTGAAATCTAGGGGGAACCAGGTTGATGTAGGGAAGGACACGAGTGGGGTCTGGGCCACCACCTCTTGTGAAATGGTTGGTTTGGGTATGAAGAGAGCACGTTAATCTGAACCTTTAAGAAAATAGTTGTTGTAAAGTGCACGAGTGTGAGCTGGGTCTGCCAGTCCATGTTAATCCTGGTGGGTTTAGAGGAAGAGAGGGAGTGGCTTCATGGAGCCATCCATTATATATATATATATATATATATTTGATCCTGTTGAAACTTTCAATCATCAAGGTGGTTGTCTGACCCACAGTATTGTTTAACACACAAGTAGTGGCACAATAACTGCTGTTATTCCTGCTGGGATGAGGGCAGAGAAGGCAGAGACAAATCATAGTTCCCATATGTTAGCCAGTTCCTATATATCAGCAGAGTTCCTGCAGCAGGGAGCTGAAAGAGCAAGTGCAGGCAGCCCAGGCATTAAAACAAGCTAACAGTAAACACTCTGTGGTTCACCTTGTGCTCTGCAGAATCACAGGCGAGGAGAAATCCCAGCTAGGCTGGCAAGGGTTGGCTAAAAAATGAAATATTTCTCTGGCTTTATAAGTTCCCTCAGTGTTGGAGCAGGAACAGGCTGTTGCATGTGGATGCTGATTTTGATAAGAGGCTGCAAAGAGGGGCTGCCCTCCCGCTCAGCTGTGCCTGCAGGGGTGGAAGGTCTGGGTGCTCAGGGAGCAGCTTTGTTGTGCCTGCAGCGTGGGGCCTCAGCTGTCCTTCATGTGAGCTCAGGCATCTTCCCTGCTGTATTTTTAGAGCTGTTGTGTGAAGAAGATTAGCAAAGGACTTAATATCGGTGTGGATATGGATTCTTTCTCAAATATGGCAGTGTTCCCCCTCGTTAGGTGATGGGTTTGGGTGCTGTCACAGCTGTATCACCGGGGCTGTGCACTGACGTGTGTCTCTCCCTGGCCTGTCCTGGTTCTCCAGGTGTGGTTCAGCTGTCTGAAATAGTGGCTGCACCCCCTTAGTCCTGGTCTTGGTTTTGCTGGATTTAATGACAGTTTGTTAGGGAGCCTGTCTGCAGCTGGGTCAAAGTGGGGAAAGAGGGAGTGGTGTGTTGAGATCCCGGGGCTTTATCTTCAGGTGGGAGCCAGAAGCAGCTGGATCCAGTGGTGGTGGAGGTGTTCACACTGGTCATTGTGTCCTTGCAGTGGTGAGAGGGCACTTAGAGCTCAGTGCTCCTGGTGAAGCTGTTCACTGAGGCCTTTGGAGGATCCTGGTCCCAGCAGAGCAGCTCTTGTTCCTCTGCAAACTCCCTCAAATGTTTCTGGCACAGCTGCACCCCTGAAAGAGTAGAATCACAGACTGGTTTGGGTTTGGAAGGGACATTAAAGCTCATCAAGTTCCACCCCCTGCCATGGGCAGGGACACCTTCCAATATCCCAGGATTGCTCCAAGCCCCGTCCAACCTGGCCTTGGACACTTCCAGGGATGGGGCAGCCACAGCTTCTCTGGGCAACCTGTGCCAGGGCCTGCCCACCCTCACAGGGAAGAATTTTTTCCCAATATCCCATTTAAATCTGTCTTCTTTTAAAGACCATTCCCCTCTGTCCTATCAAACTGTTCACCCTTGCTGAGGTGACGACTGGGGCAGCCTTCTCTCAGGGTAAGGTTTTCAGTGACACTTTTTGCAAGTGTGTTAAGGGCACAGGGAAGGAGTGACACGGGGCAAACAGCTGAAAAATGCTTGCTAAATGTTTTGTTATCCCAGTGGCCTACAAAGGTGCTCTCAGCTTTCACTGTCTGACTGCTGGGACTCCAGTAACTAAGAGTGGGTGGCCTGGAGGCACTTGCTGGCATGTACTAGAACAGGGAAGAGCAGCAAGGCAAAGGCTTTGGCCTCGGGATAGCACTGGATGGTAGTTGGAGTCTGGAGGGGTGCACCCCTGCAAGTGTCCTGTGACAATGCCTGATATCTGTGCATGAATTCCCATCACAACAAATTAGGCTTCTTAAAGCAGTGCATGTGCCTTTGCTGGCTGGTTTAGTTTTCCCTGTGATGAGAGTGAAAAGCATAGGTAGAAGTTCTCCCAGCAATGTGGCAGAGCAGGCAGGACACTGCTCATTGCCTTTGATTTAAAGTCCTGTGTGCTCTGTTATGGCCAGAATTCCAGCTGGCACTGCCTGCACTTCCCTCCTGATACTGAGCAACACGATAATCTGAAATAACTCCTTTCCCGTCCAGAGCTCCAGGAGCAGGAGACATGGAATGTGTCCTTAAGTGCCTGGGCTATTTTAGGAGCAGGGGCCACGAATCCATGCAGGGACAACCAGCCTTTGCACTGCTGTGGGAGCAGGGAATGTGGCTGCTGTGGGTGCACTGACAGCGCTGCTGAGCTCGGGAATTATCACATCAACCTTTCCTTGGCGGTGGACACTTCTCTCCTGAGGAGCTGTGTTTTTATGCACTAAACAAAATGATTGGGTCTTATGGAAGATGGGAAGAGGTTAGGGTTGGCCTTGGAATGGGGGCAGAAAAATCTTAAAGCCAAAATGTGGAGCTCCGAGAGTGCAATGGAAGGAGAGCTCAGATTCTCCTGGAACAGCTCTGGTGGAACTCTGGGCAGCTTGTGCAGCAGTCACATATCTACAACAGAATCACAACATGCAAGACACTTGTCAGAAATCCAAGGAACACATTCTGTCCTGCAAACATCTCAGAATATAGTAAGAGATGGAGAAGTGCATATAATAAGAGATGCTCTTCTTAGGGAAAGAGGAGCAACAGTAGGTTTATACAAGTTAACTTGCTACAAGTGCCATGGAAAACTGGATTTCTGTTGGAACTGATAAAGGGCTTTTCAGAGGGATGTGCTAATTAAAACAAGGAAGATTTCAGAACCAGGACAGAACTGTTTCAGAAATGGATAAAGCAAGGGAAAGCGAGTAGCCAGTAATTTATGGTCTTACCCTTGACAGTTTAGGGCCACTAGAACTGTTGGACACATCACATTTTAAGGTACAGAGGTGTTAAACATTTTTAGTAGCTTCTTCATACAGACAGTATTGACTTGACCCAGGGATAATGAAATTCAAGTCTTTAGCCAGCAGAAATCAGCAGAGCTGTGCTTGCTTTTACCATGAGATTCCTGATTATGAGTCCCTTCCTAGTACTCCTTAACAACAGGATTTTGTTTCTGCTTCATGTGTGAAAGAAAAATTATGTTAAGACATGTTTGGCTGATGACTGACTTGGTCCTGGCTCTGCTTGTAACTATTTAGCTTTAACTTCACCTCTGAGAGAAGTGGAGCCAACACAGGGGTTGAGGGGCCTCTGTTTTGTTGGAGTTTTACTGCAAGGGAGTTAATTGATCCAGAAAGAATCATAGAATCATAGAATTAACTGGGTTGGAAGAGACCTCCGAGATCATCAAGTCCAACCCTTGATCCAACCCCACTGTGATGACCAGGTCATGGCACTCAGTGCCACATCCAGCCTCATCTTAAAACCCTCCAGGGACGGTGAATCCACCACCTCTCTGGGCAGGAGAGTTAAAGCTGATCTTCCCAGAAGCTGAACTTGCTTTGTTTTCACTTCCAGGCGTACGAGAAGCGCTTCCCTACGTGCCCAGAGATCCCAGTGTTCCTGGGGAGTGAAATCCTGCACGAATCCAGGAGCGAGGATGGGGCTGTACACGTCATTGAGCGGAGCTGCAAACTGAACGTGGACGCTCCCAGGCTGCTGAAGAAGGCAGGTGGAACCCGGGGCACAGAGAGACCCGGGCTTTGTTGGCTCCTGGTAGAGGCTCCTGAAGTAACTCTTTCTTTCTCTGTCTTTCTTCCCCCCTCCCCTCCTTTTGGTTCTTCCCCCCCCTCAGATTGCAGGGGTGGAGCATGTCTTCTTCATCCAGAGGAACACTGTGAACTGGAGGGAGCGAACCCTCCGCATCGAGGCCCACAACGAGACCTTCGCCAACCGCGTCGTGGTGCGCGAGACCTGCAGCTACTCGGTGAGTGCTCTGCTTCCTGGGGCTGCCCAGGAAGCGATGGGAATGGGGCACTAATGGCAGGGTGGAGGTGCTGTGGAGGGATTTGGGCACTCCTGCAGCACTGGACAGCAGCGTTCTGTGATCAGATACAGTTCCTTTGCTTTGGAAAAGGGACTTTGGACAAGGGCCTGGAGGGCACAGGGAATGGCTTCCCACTGTCAGAGGGCAGGGTTAGGTGGGGTATTGGGAAGGAATTGTTCCCTGTGAGGGTGGGGAGGCCCTGGCACAGGTTGTGCCATCCCTGGAAGTGTCCAAGGCCAGGCTGGACGGGGCTTGGAGCACCCTGGTCTAGTGGAAGGTGTCCCTGCCCATGGCAGGGGTGGGTAGAATTAAACAGTCTTCAAGGTTCCTTCCAACCCAAACCATTCCATGATTCAACCCAAACTTCTTTGGGTTGATTGGGATTCTCTGATTAGAGTGAGAATAAAAAACAGAGATGGTGCTCCAGAGCTGCTGCTATTCCCTGAGTTTCTTTTTGGTTGAAATTCAAGTTAATAAAAGCATCTGGATCTTGAGAATGTATCTGGATGTTTAGAGTGGAACCCTTAATACTTGTTACAAAGAGAGCCTGAGGGAAGTCTGGCAATTAAGTTTGCCCACAACTAAGTCAAAGTTTTAGCACCATGTCATGATCTTTGTGCTCTAAAGATTTGGAGAAAGGTCTTGAGCCTTATTTGTGGCCTGGGCTGTCTCAGTTTGTGCTGCATCTTCAGCACAGGGTGCCACTTCACTGTAATTGTGCTCATAGGGCTCGGTCACCGGTAAATAGCTTCAGCTGTTTCTGGAAGCAATCAGATACTGCTTTTTGTCCCTCAAACAAAAGTCCAGATCCTGTTACTTACCTGCCCTTTTGGCAGCTGGACAACAGCTCAGCTTCTTGGGAGCCAGCAAGCTGTGAGCAGCTCCAAGCAAGCGGAGGAGCTGAAAAGCTGTCAACGTTTTGGATGGTTGAGGGGGTTCCTGAGCCAGAGATCACTTGGTGGCTCCATGGGGTTTCCTAAAAACCGCAGTAAATCAAACTTCCATCATTGTCAAAGGCGCTGATGGGTCTGAAACGCTCCCAGGTCACCTCTGGGATCTCTTCAGACATTGTTACACTTGCTGATTTTGGCCGTGTCCCGTGTCCTTCGGAAGGAAACGTCAGCTTCGAGGGGAACAGGGTGGGAGCTCCTGGCTGCATCCTCAAGATGGTTCCCTGCTCTATTTTTACCAGTTCCCTTTTCCCTGCCAGAGTGCACCGGAAGCAGGTTTATTCTCATCTTTCCTTTCCTGCAGGGTTCTCTGAGGCAACTTGGAGAAATGTGATCCTGCTGCTGCAGTTATTAACTGTGCCCCCGAGGAATCTGTCCTTTATCTGTCGCTGTGTGGGGGCTGGAACTGTTGTCCCTTCTTGTCAGTTTGTGAACAGCAGCACCTGCAGAGAGAAGGCAGAGCCTCCTCAGGAAAGGGTTAAGTTTAAAAGAGGAAAAGATTATATAGTTTTTACCATATATAGAGTTCACTGAGGGGAAATGACTAGAAAGGAAAGGTGTGTTTTGAACTGAGTAGGAAAATTCCCTGCTCTGCCACGTCTCCAGTGTTTTGGGGGGAAAGGCTGACATTAGTGGCTGAGTTCCCATCTAAAACTAGAAAAAAACACCCTGTTCTTCAGTTTTCTTCATTGCAGATGTAGAAATTTTAATTACACAGCCCACAAGGCCATCCCTTGTCCTTCCATAAGGAGCTCTTGACATCGTGGTTTCAAGTGGGCAGTTTCACTCCTATTTTAATGCAAGTTTTGCTACTATTGTTACCTCTCAGGTCTGCTGGGGCAGAGGTGCGGTTGAACCTTTGACTTCCCCGTGCATGTGAAGAATGTTGGGTTAAAAAGCATCCATATGCCCAGTTTGTGATGAGTTTCTGTTACTCTGGGAGAATTAACCTGTTAGGTACAGTCGGTGCTTCCTCTGCCCCCCTCACTCTGTAAGTCTGGAGATCAGCCAGCGTGGTGCCAGGGACGAGGGCCCTGCCATTCCACGAGGATGTGCCAAGCCCACGTGTCCTTTGGGGGGGTAGGTTCACCCTGAGAACGAGGAGTGGACGTGCTTCGAGCAGTCGGCGTCTCTCGACATCAAGTCCTTCTTTGGCTTCGAGAGCACAGTGGAGAAAATTGCCATGAAGCAGTACACCTCCAACATCAAACGGGTAAGAGGGGGGCCACAAGCCCAAATTCCACACCTGCTCTGCGTGCCTCCCTTTCTGGGTGTCGTTCTGTCCCCTTTGTTACGGCTCTGAAATCCCTCCGTTGGGCAAGGGGAGGGAGAAGCCGGTGTGCAATGAGCAGAGAACAATCTGCTGGCTGGAATGTGGCTGTTCAGGGATGGAGCAGGCCGTGCCAGAGGAGGGCTGCAGTGGATGCTGGGGGTGCCAGGCTCCTCGGACAGTGGGGACACTGTTCTCGTGCGGGAAGGGAAAGTTGGGGGTGAAAATCAGCACCCTGTCTCTCTTGGGCAGAGGCACTGCCTTTCAGTGGCCTGTTGGCCTGGGCTGCAGAGGAACAGGGCAGCTGACTGATGGTTTGGGGGCAGGAGAAGGAGAAAAGTGTTTTAAGGGCAGCTGCATCCGTAGCACTGGGAATTTGCCTGGGCAGTGTTAATTGTAATTCACCCTCGATACGGGCCTTTCCTACAGAAGGGTTCTCAACAGGGGGGTGCAGATGGAAGGAGACAACATCTCCCTTCTGTTTATCTCTGGCAGTGTCAGTGTTCTGCCCTGAGGAAAACCCTCCACCCTGCTGGGTCTGGAGGGTGCTTTTCCTAACGGGAGTTTCCCCCTGCAGGGCAAGGAGGTGATTGAGCACTACCTGAAGGAGCTGATCTCCCAGGGGATCACATTCATCCCGCGCTGGAGCCCTCCGGCCGGGAGCGGGCAGGATGAGCCAAGCCCGGCTCTGGAACATGAGGCTGGTGACATCCCACTGGATTCTGGGGCTCCTGGATCCCCCTGCCCTTCTGCAGAGGCTGCCAGCCCTGATGGTACGTAGTGCCCAGGCAGCAGCAGCAGCTGCTGACGAGGCTTGAGTAGCACTAAGGAGTTTATTTTTATTTCTTTTGGCTTCAGGTTTTTCTTCCGGATTGTGGGTGAGGAGGAAGGAAAGTTGTTTTCTCTTTTTTTTTTACCAAGAAAAACAAACAATGGGCTTTTTTTTTCTTTTTCCCCTCCCTAAAACTGAAAAGCTAAGAAAAGCTGCACAAGCAGTATGTTTTTGAGCTTAGAAAAGAAAATGATCTGCCCTTTAAGGTATTTTCTGCTTTAAAATGGAGAAGCTTAAAGGTGTCTTGAATATGCTAGAGTTGAATTTTAATGAAGTATTTTATCTGTTTCAAAATTCATATTCTTGAGGACCAGTTTGGTTGGCTTTTGCCCCTTTATCAGGCCAAGACAAACTTGCAAAATGTTGCCTCATGCATTTCTCCCAGAAAATACCTGAATGAGACCTTATCATGCCTTGTGTTGGTCTGATATCTTGTAGACTAAATAAAACACTTCTCTGACAAAAAAGAAACAGGAGGGACCTTTGAATTTAGAGTTGTGGTATTAGAAACAGTTGTTGTCATTCCTCAGAAGGAAAGATAGTGCTTGTTTTGCCGAGTGTAACCAGGGAAAAAGCTTGGAATTTGGAAATGTCTGTTCTCACCTGACCTTTTTTTCTGCCTGTATTCCCCAGCTCACGTGTAGCACTTCCAAATGTGTTTTCTGTGTTATCCTGCTTATCCTGTGGGTGTCCAGCCCTTGTCTGTAGGTCATGGCATCAGGTGCAACCCCTTGTGCCTGACGAAGAGCAGCTCTGAGGTTGTCCCCCAGCCCTGCCCCTCGTGTGCCCCGGCACAGCTGCTGCCCCGGTGCCCTGTTCCCCTCACTGGCACTGCACACCCCAGCCCTGGGTGGCACATCTGGCCCTCAGTGCTGGCAGTCACCAACCCCTTGTCCTTTGTCTCTGAGCTGCTGGTGTGCACAGGACTTCTCCCCCTGCTGAACCTCCCCCCTCCCTCTCCTTGCTGTCAGAAATGTGGTTTTATTCTCCCTTTCCCTCTGCTGTCCCTGAGCAGGGTAACAATCTGGTTTCCCAGTGAGTTGCTTTTTTAGCTTCTTGTTATTGGAATTGTGCATGAGGCTTGAGGACAACCTGGGGATTGAAGTGCCCAGGTCTTGGAGTGGTTAGTGAGCAGCTAGAGCTCGTGATTTATCTTTTAAAGCTCCTGCTGGAGCAGTTCAGGCTGAACAGAATATCAGTGTTCTAAGAGACAAGTGGAGTGATCAAGTTTGGACCCAGTCTGTGCTGTCTGTGGCCTCACACCCCCAACCACTGTGACACAAACCCTTCCCTCCCTCAGGCAGGGTGCAGCCAGGCCAGTTCTCCTCTGAACTGTTCCCTCATTTTTCTCCCTCCAAAGCTGACAAACTGGACGCCGATTACATCGAGCGCTACCTGGGCCAGCTGACGCCGCTGCAGGAGAGCTGCCTGATCCGCCTGCGCCAGTGGCTGCAGGAGACACACAAGGGCAAGGTGGGTAGGGGAAACCCTTGGTTCTGCACCTGGGCTGGGGCAACACACCCTGGGGAATGAGGGGCTGGAGAGCAGCACTGTGGAAAGGGATCTGGGGGTCCTGGTCGATGGCAAGTTGAACGTGAGTCAACAGTGCCCTGGCGGCCCAATGGGCCGCCAGGGCACTGTTGACTCACGTTCAACTTGAGTGAAAATAGGTCAAGAGTGTCCTGGGATAGGTGTCTGTGCTGTTTGTGGCTGAGAAAAGAAAAGATCTGGGGCAGCTTGAGTGCCTCGAGAGTGATCTGAGCCCAGATTTCCTGATGGAGAGAGACTGGAAAGGGAAGAGCGAAGGATGGCGACAGGGAGAGTGATTGGGTGGGATGAGTAGACAAATGGTGCTTAGGAAGAGGAGGAAACAGGAGGAAGATGGTTGGAACATCCCCCTGGAAAGCAGAGTCCATCTAGAGGCGTTTTACCAGTCCTTTGTGTGCGATGTGTTGTGTCTCTCTCAGAGCTGAGACTCTCTGTGTCTCATCTGAGTACAGGGAGTTTGAACATCATTTATAAAGCCCTGTTTCTTCTTGGAAGAATTAACATATATCACCCATGTAGAACTAAAGTGTAACAAAGACTTAGCTCCACAGTTCTGTTGCTGTTTAACTCATGAAGAAGTTCCCTTCTGTGAGAGTGTGCATGGAATGGTGGATGGAGAAACATCCACCTGAAAACCTCAGGGTGGAGAGAACTGCTGGGGCAGTGTGGGAGTCCCCCAGTGGCTGATAAGCTCCAGCCATCAACAACACTGTTGAATCTGTAAAAGCTGATAAATTCACAACAGAAAACATCTTCCAAAGCTCTCCAAGACCACTGGTGTCCAGGAACTTGTTGGATAACAGGGACCATGCCCAGGAGCATGACTACATACACATAGATATGTGTGTCTATAAATACACACACACCTGAGGGAGCAGAGGACCCCTTGAGGGGCTGTAACTCCTCCCTGCAGGCTGCTGTCATGTTAGTGTGATGCTCTGCCTGGGAGTAAACACAGTAACAGCTTAACTAATAAAAGGGCCTCTGCTAAATATTGGTTGTGATCTGTGCCCCCCGATTCAGCCTCTTGACAGATAAAAGGTGCTTGGCAAGTGGACACGAAACAAGGGGCAGGCAGGGATCAGTCCCTGGGTATAACTGTGCTCTGAAATACAGGACATGAGGCTTTTCAGGTCCATGGAGACCTGTCCAGTAAAACAGTGTGGGCTCTGGTGTGGTAGGAGATTATCTCACCTACTGGGAATCCACTGAAAACGAGCCCTAGGTGGGAGCAAGACAGGGAGGCTTTATCCATCCCTGTGATCTGCAAGGATCCTGCTTTCAGCTGGAACAGGCACCATCCAAACATTTGCCTGTTTTGTTCTCTGGGTTGTTTTTTTTCCCCTGTGTGTCAAAGGCTGGGGAATGGAAGCTGGAGCAGCAAAAAGTGAGGGCACGTGAGGCAAAAGGGGAAGAGCTGCCCCTGGGGGTGCTCGGAGCTCGGTGGGATGTGCTGGGCCAGGTAGAGCTGATTGCTGAGCTCTCCTACCCTTGGGTGGGCTCTGGGAGCTCAGTCCCCAGGGGAGCTTGAACACTGCAGGAAGGAAGGTGCTGGCTATTGGAAATTCATCCTGAACCCCCTCACACTGTTCCCATGTTTGCTTCCCCTGATTCCCTGTCAGAACAGTACAAAACCAGGAGCTGGGTTTCCAAGCCTTGGGGTTTTCCCTGGAGAGGCTGTTACCTTGCTGTGACAATCTGTTCCTTTCATTCTGAGCAGGGATGTCCTTATTCCTCTGTCAGAAAATATCAAAAAATAGATCTCCTGTTTCTTGGAAAATGGCCCTTCTTATTTTCGTCCTTTCTGTCCTATTTCACTATCCCTTCCCTGTCTCTTCCAAAGCAGGCATTGCCTTTAGAATCAGATTTATTGTTGCTTTCAAAATCTGAGGAGCTGAAGGAACAAACTGGAACGGTGTTAAAATTGCAACTACTTAAAGCTCCCAATCATGGCTTTGCACTGTGTAGAAGAGTGCACACAGCTTCACACCAGGCTGAAATTAAAACTTCATTTTCTTGCATGTGGGAGTTACTGCTTTGGTTGGACAAGGATAAAAGACTAATTCCACTGTGGAATAAGTCCCCTCGGAGCTTCCTGCCTTTGGTCCAAACAGAAGCCCTGGATTTGCCTCCTGCCTGAAGCTGTGAATGAGCAGAGGAGGTTTGAAACACGAAAAGTGATGAACCTTCCCCCAGCCATCCCCTCTCCTGGGTCCTGCAGGAGGTGCAGGGGCTGCTGTGGGTGTTGGGGCTGATGTCTGCTGAGTAACAGCTGCCTCTGAGCAGCAGGAGCACAGAGGTAAATCATCTGATGAAAACTCTGCTGTCTCTAATCTTGCTGTGATGCAGAGAAAATGTTGGGGGCATTCCTCTAAATACTCCTGAGGTCCTGTTTGGGAAGGCTGCCCTTCCCTTCCCATGCCAAACAGATGCAGTGTTGGAACCTGCTGAACAGTGTTCATCTCCTGCCTGCTCCTCAGGTGCTTTGGGTTTAGTTTGGGCTGCCTGAACTCTGCCCCATTCTTTAGGTGAGTCAGTTCTTAGCTTGTGAAACCGAGATTGCTCCTGCCTGATTCTTTCTGTCCTGATTTCTGTTTTCCTGAGTTTGGCAGTGGAGAAACAAAGGAGCTTTGACTCCTGAACACGCTGTTTTGTGTTACAGCAGGGCTTGGAGTGCTTGTGTTAAGCAGTGGGGATGCTCTGGAAGAGACAATCCCTGCTCCACAGAGCTTGAATTTTTAATGGAAGCTTTTAGGGGAGCTGGGTGAATGAATCCAGCAGCACGTGGAGCTCTAATCCAGTTGGGTTTGCAGCTGCCAGGCTGTTGGTGAGATCTGGTGCTGCTGTGGAATCTGTCAGAGTCACTGTATTTCCTGCTGCTTGGCTTTGCTGGCAAGTTTTCCTTGTGTTTTTTTTTTTTTCAGCTGAAGGGAACCTGGGAGATCTGGGAGGAGGCTGGAATAAGCCATTCTACAGGCTTGCTTTGGGAAAGCAATTTTGTGCCTGTGATGCCACAATTACTGATAGTGTTGGGATGAGGGATAAAGAGAGGGGGGTGTTGTAGCTTGGTTGATTTGGAGCAAGAGTTAGTGTGGTGGGGGGTGGGGCAGGGAAGCCTTTGGAAGCATTCAGCAGCTTTCCAGTTCAAACACCAGCAGCAGGAACTGCACAGGAACTGGAATTGGTGCTGGTGGGATCATTCAGACTGCACAGTCTGATCCCACTCCAAACAGCCCATGCTCCAAACACCTGGTTAAGGTGTTAGCTGGGACTGGTTTCCATCCTGTGCTGGTTTGCCCTGGGCAGGTAAACTTGCAGCTCCCTGACTTCCACGTGGTGTTGTGGTTGTCCTTGTGGATAAGCAGCCGAGGGAAACATCAGCCAGCCTGGGGTTTGCTGGGGCTTCTGGGACCTGGATCAGGGAAAGGCTTCCCCCAGGCAGGGAGCCGGGCCCTTCTGTTTGCTGCTGGCACCCTCTGCTGCTGCCGGCTGGGTTAGCTCAGGAGGGAGGAGGAATGGGGTGTCGTGTTTGGTTTAGTGCCTTGGTTTTAGGAGATTGAAAAGTGGTGTGCACTCTGCAGCCTCCTCTGCAGGGCACCTGGCACGTGCCAGGCCTGACCCCGGGCCTCTCTCCTCCCCCAGATCCCCAAGGACGAGCACATCCTGCGGTTCCTGCGCGCTCGTGACTTCAACATCGACAAGGCCCGCGAGATGCTGTGCCAGTCGCTGGCGTGGCGCAAGCAGTACCAGGTGGATTATATCCTGCAGTCCTGGAGGCCCCCTGCCCTCCTGCAGGAGTACTACACGGGGGGGTGGCACTACCAGGACAAAGGTGAGGAGCTGACGCTGATACTGCAGCCCAGTCTGGTGATGGGACCTCACCTGTGACCTGGGAGTTGGGAGGAAGTTGTATTGACACTTTCATAGTTACCAGAGCAGCTCGATGCCTGCAAACAGCCACTCTGGTTTGCTGTAATTTTATTCTCTCTGCTCAGTTCAGGCAGACTGGTCAGTGCAAAGCAGCATCTCTTTGATAAGGCTGCCTTGAACCTGATTTTTGTCCTTCTAAAACATTCAAAGGGGCTTTTGTAAAAGGTTCTAGGGTGATAGGTAGCCTGGAGACTGGGGTGCTTCCCTCTTGAAAGCCTCCTGTTTGTTTTGAAGATGGACGGCCCCTCTACATCCTCCGCCTCGGCCAGATGGACACCAAGGGTTTGGTGAAAGCTCTGGGAGAGGAGTCCCTGCTGCGACACGTGAGTTGTGCCTTCACATCTCACCTGAGGAGCTCTCTGTCCCTCGGGGTGTTTAGAGGGCCTGTCATAGCAGGAATGGTTTGGGTTGGAAGGGACATCAAAGCTCATCTCACTCCCACCCCCTGCCATGGGCAGGGACACCTCCCACCAGCCCAGGGTGCTCTCTCCGTCCAACCTGGCCTTGGACACTTCCAGGGATCCAGGGGCAGCCACAGCTTCTCTGGGCAACCTGTGCCAGGGCCTGCCCACCCTCACAGGGAGGAATTTCCTCCCAAATATCCCATCTAACCCTGCCCTCTGCTGTACTTCTGGGTTCTGTGTTTTTTAAAATAAGATCTCCGGGCTATCTTGGTTCCTCAGCCATCCTCAGGCTAATCCTGTCTGTGCTGTCCTTGATTCCAGGTTCTGTCCATTAACGAGGAAGGACAGAAGAGATGTGAGGAAAATACCAACATCTTTGGCCGCCCCATCACGTCAGTATTGATGGTTTTCCTGAACCCCTTACAGAGATTCACTGGCATGGTGAAGAATGTTGCTGTGGAGGTTTGGGATGACTGGGATGGTGTCCTTAGGGCTGAAGTGCAGACACACACAGTCAGTGTGTCTGTCACAGTCTGTTTGGGGAACAATATGTGTATATATATATGTATATATGACTGAAATGCAGACAAATTCTACAGTTTCATATGAAAGCAAGTATTAGTCCTTCCTTATATCTTTTTATATCCCATTTCAGATGAATTTAATCTTCCTGTCTTGGTGATTTTAATCCATATCTTTGTAATTACAGTGGTTTTTCTTTATAGGAACCTGCCTGCCATATTTCACATTCATTTAAAATGCATTTTTAAATTATTTTTAGCAATAAGCCTGCACACTTTCACCCCTTCTAGTGTGACATTATATTCTTGCACTTAAGTCTGGGTGTCTGTTGTACCTGAAGCTCACCTGGATTCGGGTGTCTCCTGCCTGAGTGGAGATCTGCTTTTAATTGGAACTCCTGCTCTCCCTTGTTGGCTCCCCTGGATGCTGCATGGGCTGTGGTGTTACTGGTGTGCTGTGGATCCTAAACTGGGCAGCCCCTGTTCACTGCAGTGCTGACAGGCCTTTCTCTGGGGGTTATTTTAGATCCTGGACGTGCCTGGTGGACTTGGAAGGGCTCAACATGCGTCACCTCTGGCGGCCTGGGGTGAAGGCCCTGCTCCGGATCATCGAGGTGGTGGAGGACAATTACCCCGAAACCCTGGGCAGGCTCCTCATCGTGAGAGCACCCCGGGTGTTCCCTGTGCTCTGGACCCTGGTGGGTGACAGCTGGGCTGCAGATCACAAACAGCTCTGTGCATGTACAAATAGCTAAACCAGCCAGAGTCAGGGAGGGAAAAGCTCCCAGGTAACTCCAGGCTGAACTCCTGAAGAGGCCACAGAGTTGCTGCAGAGCCCAGGCACGGTGTGCCTGGAGCTCACTTGATCCCAGTGATTGTCATCTGTCAGGACAGGGTGTCAGACCTAAATTGCAGCTCTTCATGCAGTAGGAGCTCAAACTCAGTGGGTTTTCATGTGGATGGGAAGATGGATGTTTTTTAACCTCATGCTGGAGGACACTGAGGAGTAATATGTAATAAATAATAAATATGGTTCTGCCTGGTGCCTGCTGTAATGTGAGAACATGGTCATTAAATTCCTTGTGAGGTTTGTGTGTGAGGCAGTGACAGCAAACTTCTTTTACATGGAGTAGAATATGCTGTGAGATGACAGCATACCCCAACATGCCGTGGTTAGAGTTCACTTTCCATTTGTGACCCCTTTCTTTGGGGAAGTACTGCAGCATTTCAAAGCTACTGCTGGACTGCATTCCCACTGCTGAGACCTTCCAGTCTAGAGCCTAAAGCATCCTTGTGAGGTGGTGCAAACGTTCTCTCTAACTTCCCTCAGTGACAGCGATGTCTTCTGTCCCCTTTTTCCTTCAGGTCAGTCCCTTTATCAATGAGAACACACGGCAGAAGTTCCTCATTTACAGTGGGAATAACTACCAGGGCTCAGGAGGGCTGGTGGACTATGTGGATAAAGAGGTGATCCCAGACTTCCTGGGAGGAGACTGCATGGTGAGTGTTCTTTGCTGTTGTGCAGGTGAAATCTGGAGTTGATTCCCTCTTCCTCACTGCCCTCTGGAAGGGTTAAACCTCTGTGCTGACTGGGACACCCCTGCTCTGGGCATGGGACAGGTAGTTTGGGCACAGGAGACCCCCTGAAGTGGTGGTGCTGCCCTGGAGAAGGGGATTAGAGGTCAACTCGAAATGGAGCTCAGATAAACCTTGATAGTTCCAGTAACCTCAGTCCCACTGTGCAGTCCTAGCCCAGCTGAGGGTGTTACTCTGTGTCTGACACACACCAAGTGTTCCTGGGACAGCTGACTTGTACTTCCCGGCTGGAATACCATGAACCCTCATGTCTGTGTGTCCTCTGCCCAGTGCACTGTCCCAGAAGGTGGCCTGGTCCCCAAGTCACTGTACCAAACCGAGGACGAGCCAGAGAACGCTGATCACATCCGGCTGTGGACAGAAACCATCTACCACTCTGCAAGTGTCCTCAGAGGAGCTCCACACGAGGTACAGACCCCTCCTCCCCGGGCTCAGGAGGGGCTGAGCTGGGACACTGGGGTGTTCCTCTTGTTTGGCTGAGTAGAGCAGCAAAGGGCTCCCCAGGGTGAGCAGGAGATGGCTGGGCAGCAGTGCTGCTCCTGGCAGGACGGTGTTAGGGGTGTTGGCTGGAAGTGTGGGAGTTAAGAACAGCACTTAGAGAAGCAGTGTCACTTGTCTCTGCTATGGCCTGATCTTCTGTAAGATACACTCTCTTCCTCCTTCTCCTGGGGGAATTAAAGGTTTCCCCTCTGGCAGTTCAGCTCTCAGCTGAAGTGATTGTTCAGTTCAGGCTGGGATGGCAGTGGGGGTGATGTAAGAAGGTGTGTGCTGGGAAGAGCCTGAGGAGAGTCAGCAGGAAACAGAATGTCCCAAAGAGGAGCACCTGAGTATCCAATCAGGCCTCTGTTCTCACTGATGGGGAGTGACTCTGATTTGGCTCTTGGCTGTGTCCTCTACCTCTTTTCCACAGAGGTTTTCCCAGAACTAGTGACTGATTTACAAGGAACTCTAATATGGGAGGAGACAGGGTGAAAACGCTTGAGCAGATGTCCTGTGGCAGGAGATGGAATGGGAATGGTCTCTATCCTCCTCAGGAATCAAGGCCATGAGCCAGCTGAAGGACTGGGTGTGCTCCACGGGGTGGGGAGGAGCACACTGGCTGCCACCTGACCCTGCAGTGGGCTTGTTCTGCTCCCTGCTTTAGATAGTCGTGGAGATTCTGGAGGGGGAATCCGTCATCACCTGGGACTTCGACATCCTGAAGGGGGACGTGGTGTTCAGCCTCTTCCACTCCAAACGAGCTCCCGAGCTGAGTCACAAGGAATCCACGCTACCAGGTCCCTGTGCTGGGGACAACGTGCAGCTCATCGACAGGACCTGGGTGCTGGGCGTGGATTTCAGCCGTGTGGAATCCCCGCTGGTCTGCCGGGAAGGGGAGAGCATCCAGGTCAGAGGGGTCTGGGGGAGCATCCAGCTCAGAGGGGTTGGCAGGAATCTCACAGTCCTGCAAACTCCAAAATGAGCTACTGGTGGGGAAGGAATTGATGACCTTAGAGCCACTTCCAGTGCCTAAAGGGGCTCCAGGAGAGCTGGAGAGGGACTTTGGACAAGGACCTGGAGGGACAGGACAAGGGGCAATGGCTTCCCACTGCCAGAGGGCAGGGTTAGATGGGATACTGGGAAGGAATTCTTGGCTGTGAAGCCCTGGCACAGGTTGCCCAGAGAAGCTGTGGCTGCCCCTGGATCCCTGGAAGTGTCCAAGGCCAGGTTGGATGGGGCTTGGAGCAACCTGGGCTGGTGGAAGGGGTCTCTGCCCATGGCAGGGGGTGGGACTGAATGAGCTTTAAGGTCCCTTCCAACCCAAACCATTCCATGATTCTGTGATCATTCTCTGGGTTCCCTGTGAAAGTGGCTGCTGTCCCAGTCCTGAGCCATTGGCAAGAGACTCCACGGTAAAAACCCGGTGGAAAAGAACCTTTTTTACTGGCACTGCAGGGGAGTGTCTCAGGCAGGTGAAAGAGGTGATACCTGTGCCCAGAGCCATCAGCTCCCTCGGGTTTTTTTTTGACTTCCCTGGGTCGTTCAGCCGTTTCCCAGGACTCCCAGTGGTCACTGGTGTCCCTCCCTGTCCCCAGGGGTCGCACGTGACGCGCTGGCCGGGGTTTTACATCCTGCAGTGGAAGATGCACGGCCCGCCCCCCTGCTCCGGCTCCAGCCTGCCCCGCGTGGACGATGTCCTGGCCTCCCTGCAGGGCTCCGGCCACAAGTGCAAGCTCATCTACTTCTACGAGGTGTTGGCCTCCAAGGACTTCAGGTGGGACGTTTAGGGGGGATTCACTACGTGATTTTGCCTTAGAGAAGCCAAATGAGAGGGCTGAGTGTGAGTTAAACGTTTGGGTACCAGCGACCCCCACTGGGTGTGTGTTTCACTGGTGATGTTTGGCACAAACTCAGTGTCATTTTGCACAAACAATCTCCTTTAGTGCTGGAGGTATTGAGGGCCCCCTTGGCTGGGTGTCCACCTGAGGAATTTGGGTTTCAGGTCTTGCTTGCAGCTACCAGAAGAGCAGGAGGTTTTTGACTCAGGAGATTTATCTTAGTGGGGATGATTTTGAGAAGTTACTTTTGGAATAACCCAAATATCAGCTGGGCTATTTCCCAGATGTTCTGTCTGGCAGACAAGGATGTCTGCAGTGACTTGGAGAGCACTTCTGAGCAGGTGAACAGTCAGCCTTTGGGAGGGTGTGCCTGGCCTCCTCCTTTAGTGCTGAAAGCACTTCCCAATCACCATTAAATCTGAATTCTTTGAGAGTCCTTGACCTTTCCCTAGAGATGAAGGAAGTGTTAGGCAGAACAGACTTGCAGGTGGTGACCTTGGGAGGTGACCTGGCCAGATCCTGCAGAGTCAGAGCAGCAGCAAACACCTCCCTCCAGTTGTGCAACGGTGTTCCTTGGTGCTCTTCCTGCTTTTAAGTGAGCCCAGCCTGCTTTTGGCAGCAGCTGGAGACGATGCCTGGGCACTCTGAAGTTGGGACTCTGTGCCAGTCCTTGGGCTCACAGTGCCTGCTGCATTTGGGATGCACTGGAGTTTTCCTTTCTGCTCAGGGGGCAGCAAAAACAGCCCTGCAGAGGCTCCAGCTCTTTCCCCTTCCCCAGAACAACAGCCAGAGATGAGGAATAATATCTGTAACTGGGGAAAAACATCTCTAATGAATTTTTCATGATGGCACAGAGATTCTTAGAGAGCAAGTGGGAAATGATGGGACAAAAAGCACTTGTGCAAGCACTACAGAGGGTAAGCTGATCTGTCAGGGGAATAGCTCTCCATTAATTGCTGCCTTCCTAACAGCACATCTGCTTTGTCCCATCCCAGGGGATCCATGTCCAGCCTGGAATCCTGCAACAGCGGCTTCTCCCAGCTGAGTGGAGTCACCACATCCTCCAGCCAGTCCCAGAGCAGCTCCCACCTTTCCAGATAGCAGAGCCAAGGCTGCAGGGAGAGACCACCTGGGGCTTCCCGGCCCCGGAGCTGCTCCGAGCCCCAACCAAAGAGCTCCAGGGCTGAGCCTGGGGCAGTTGTGTCGCAGCCATTGGGACACAGAGAGGCCTCTGGGAGCTGCTCAAACCACGAGACCTGAAATTCCATTGGCACATTTGGAGTCCTGCAGCAGCTGCCTGCTCCTCAAGAGTCCCTTTCACCACCTGTGGATTTTGGATGGGTGTCAGTTTGCAGGAATCTCTCCAAAGGGCTTTTCCCATCGGTCCTTTTCCCGTGTGAGGCAGAGGAGGATGATGTTGCCTTACCTGTTGGACCTTCAGATTATTCCTGGGTAGCAAAACTAATGGATTAAAAACCCAAAAACCCTGGGTGCCCCCAGGGTTCCACTGGACAGTCAAGTTGGGCATTCCAGGGGCAGGGCCTTGGAAGGACACCTTGGTACAGGTAGGACAGTTCAGAAATCACTTCCAGGTCAAACCAAAAACCTCTCCTGGTCTGGCAGGATGTTACTGGGAAACGTGGTGGATTTTTGTCACCCTGCTGAGACAAAGTCAAAACAGTTTTCTGCAAAAGTCCAGGCAGAGAATCTGCCTCCAGCAAGTGGCATCTTCCTAAAGGTAAACTACTGTTCCTTTCTCCTCAGGTTTACAGCAATAATGAGTAGGTCTGTCCCGTCCCTGAGTGGATGGGAACTGAATCTGATTCTAAAGGGCTAAGCAAAGCAATATTTAATTTCCTGAAGGCACAAGATTTTCTGGCAGTAACTTGCTTACAGTTCTTACAGAACTTGCTTCGTTAAACCATGAGCTCACTTGAAACCTTTCAAGAGGCCTGTGTGTATGTAAGCACTTACTGAAGCCTATTTATTCAATGCTAGCTTCTTTTAAATTAATTTTTAACTTATTTATAATGTCAGAAATGACTATTTATTAAATCCAGCCGCCTTTTTTAATGGGATGAACTTTGTTTTTTAGAAAGGAATAAGTGATTGTCTTCAATCCCAAGAAGTCTTTCTACTTAAATCCCAATCTTTGTGACCGCTGGATGTTCTTGCAAAAGGGCTGCACCGTACAGAGCATTGGGGTAAGGGCTGTGTCACCTTCCCTGCAAGGGAAAGGGAGAGTCCAGTGCTTTTTGGACTGTTTCTTAGGATTAAGAAGCCAGGATTGAGTTCAGGAGTTGTCATGAAGATTCACTGTCTTCCTGCACACCAAAAATCCCGTGTTTGTCCCTCACCTCCACTGGCAGATTGGGTGGTTGGGGAGTGACGTTATCGCTGTTCTTGTCCGCATGGCACCAGAATGAGAACGGGTGTCAGATACTCCCCAGGTTTTTATTCAGGCTGATGGAATCTGGGGAGTCATTCCTTCCCACCCTGCTCTTTTAATTCCTGGTTTGGAAGCACCAGGTGCTGCCAAAGGAGCCCAACTATTCCGAACAACGGGAGATGACAACTTGATGTGGTTTTGAGTTGTTTGGTGATTTATTTTTTTTTAAAGGATTGGAGTCAAGGGAATCACTCTCCCACCTTGTAGGGCTCAGGGAAGTTCTGATTTCCAAGGATTCTCTACTTGTTCCATGGACTTTTAGCATTTGTCCCAGACAAGTGAAACTTCTGCCTCGGGCATTTCAGCATCAATGGAGTCAGAGTGTGGGACAAGGATCGCCTTCCCTCTGGAAAATCAGGAGTTCTGACAGTAAAAGTGCATGTGTGTATCCTTCCTGGAAAACCCTTTATCCATAATTCATTCTGATGCTGGAATTAGAGTTTCAACCAATTCCCAAAGCCCCCAGGAGCAAACCCAGCCCGTCCTCCCTTGTGCTGGTTCAGGGTTTCATCTTTTTTGGGGCTCAGTTTTTAACGTGGTTGTTCACGTCCCACACTGGCATCGTTCCTGTTTCCTGTGGTTCCCCTGGTTTCCAAGGGTTAAGGATCTCGTCCTTTGCACTGGGATACTTTTAAAGTTTATTTTGAAATGTGGGATGTGCTGTTTTCTGCCCACACGAAAAGTTTTGGGTGTTTTAACTCTTGTCAGTGAGTGGAACTTGGCACCCCTGGCAGGTCTCCGAAGGAGCCAGGGAGGCCTGAAGGGCTGGTCCCACGGAGTGTTCCCGGCTCCAGGGACATCCCAATCCTAGTTTTATCCTCGTGTTCCTTGTCAGTGCTGCTTCTCTGCCCATGAGATCACGGCACAGGTGTGTTTGGGAAGCAGCCTGTGACCTCTCCCTTGGCAGAGCTGCCTGGGTTATCCCACCTACTCCTTTACTTTGAAACCAATTTGAATAATCCAGGATTTTTTCCCTATTTTTCCAGAAGGTTAACAGGAGAAAGGGAGCAACAGCCTGGATGTTGTGGCTGGTGCTGTGCTTTTTAAACCTGACCTTGTGAACTGCAGATACCAGAGACAGAATCCTTCTACATCACCTCTCTCCCCTCAAATGACATCAGTGTGCTTTAGGAAACAAAACCACGGTTTTGTTCAGAGCAGCACAGTGAGTCGAGGCTGGGAGGAGTCCTGGACCCTCTGGATCCTCTCCTAAGGCAAAACCTTGGGAAATGGCCTGTTCTGGGTGCTGACTGGTGATGCAGCAAGGCCCTCCCCAGCAGCGAAGCCAGTGAGCTTGGGCTGTGTTCAGGTGGTTAAAAATCAGCTCCCGGTAAATTGGGGCTTTCCTGTTGCAGCTGTTCCATATGCAAACACAACACCTACCTCAGAGCTGTCCTGCAGGGGGCTGGGCCGTAGTTTACAGTTAATTATGGCCAGAGGTGAAACCTTTTTACTCTCGGTGATTCCTCCAGGTTTGCCCCATTCCCTGGGGTCTGTCCCAGCAGGACTGGGAAAGGCAAACATGGAGCACGAGGATGGATGGTGGATCGTTCAGTCCTGGGCCCTTCTGGCTGAACATTCGCTGCCTCTCAGGTGTGAAAAGGGCTTTTTGCTGCTGCTGCAGCAGAGGAGGAGCCCCGGGAGCTCCAGCCCCGCTGCCGCAGCTGCCCGGGGCCAGGGGCCGGCTGTGCCCCGGCACTGAGCGCTCCCGCTCAGCACGGAGGCACCGCAGCACCTCTCAGCAGCTCCTCAGCTCCTGGACTCACTCACTTCTCCTTTGGGAAAGAGAATTCCCAGCTGTGCCCAGGTGAGGGAGCCCGGAGTGAGCGCTGGGAGCGTTTGCTGTCACCCAGTTGGGGTCTGTCGGATCCCTTTCAGGAACAGGGCAAAACCAACTTGGAATAAGAATTTCTAATCCCAGTTTGGTTTGAAAAAGCCATAATCCACTCGTCCCAAATCTGGACCGCTTCCTGAGCTCGGAATTCCTGGTGGGAAGTGCTGAGCCCAGCTGTCCACCCTGCTGGGGTGGGAAGTGCTGAGGGCCAGGCCAGCCGTGCTCCAGGCAGGGAATCCCTCCTTTCCAAAGGCACACACTGCTGTAATATCCCACATGTTTATACTGTGAGCAATTAATGCAAAGAGCAGCTATTAGACCATTAACTGACAGCAGTTCTCAAAGATTCCTGCATGGATTCAGCTTTTAATATTTCTCCAACACGCTTGTCACGATCCTCACACCTGATTATTTCTCTCTTGGAAGGCAAAATTGGAGTTGTGTCACATGCACAGGCTTTTAGTGACACCAACACCCACCTCCAGGTTCTTAGTTACATGCATCAGTTAAATGGGCATTAATTATTTTACTTACTCTCTCTCCCTCGCAGCTGGCTTTGGTTTTATTTACTGAAATTCTCATTTTTTCTCAGCCAAATCTCCTTTAAGAGCCCTCTGCAAACTGCAAGGCCCTGTAACGTGTTCCCTGACAACAAATGTACTTCAGTGCTTGTCTGTGGGTACCTTTGGGTATGTTGGAAATAAAACAGCATCTCTAAGAATATGTGGAATTGTTTGATGCAATTGTTCAGATCGTGGGAAGTTGGGAATTTCAGCCTGTGTGCTGCTCTTTCCCCTGGAAGCAGAGGTAAGGCTGGCTTGTGTTCACTTATTCCTGCTTTTGAATTAAAATGGCCATTTTTTTCCCTGCAGAACCAGCATTTTTGTTTATTTTCCTAGCACAGAGCAGGCTGGGACAGCACATCCTGCAGCGTGGCTGTTATTTCAAATAAAAGGGCCCCTGGGTTCCCATGGGGGGCTGAGGTGAACTGGGAGAGGATCACGGCTCCTTCTGCAGCTGGACAGCAGGACTCTTGAGTTTCAGGCAGGTAGCACTAATAGACTTTATTCAAGTTTCAAATAATCTTCTGTAAATCATAGAAAAATAGAGTCTTCTGGTTACAGGCTGACCTGATGGCACAGAAATTACACATCCTTTCCATGGGGAGGGAAGAAGGGAGTGAGTGAGTGCATAAACCTGTGAGTGCTGGGGCTCAGACAGGCTCCAACCCCTCTGCAGCATCCAAGGGGCAGGGTAAAGGCTGCCTTTCCCTCACTGGAAGCAAACTCAAACACTGGTTTACTTTAATTGTGCAAGGAGGGGGTTCTGAATTTCCAGACGAGGTGTTTGGGAGCTGGGAGGGTTTGAAGAACTTGCTGGTTGTGCTCTCTCTGAGGAGTCCAGCTGGGGCAGGGCAGCCCAGGCTGTGCCCTGCCAGCCATGCCAGGCTGTCCCTGTCTGTCCCCTTCCCTGGCTGGTGACAGTCCCTGAGCCTCCAGAGCCTACAGAGATGCACCAATGGAACTTGAGACCTGACAAGGCTTTTCCTGTCGCTGAGCTGCAAGAGCCTCCCCAAAATGCAGCGCTCATGACACGCTTGGGGGCTGAGGACTGGCTCAGGAAACACTGGGGGTGCCTGAAAGCCCCAACCCTGTGACCCCAGTCAGGAGGAGGGCTCTGGTTTCACTGGGGGCTGCACCTGCTGCAACATTTTAAAACGTTTTGTCACTTTTCTGATTAAAATCTGAGCTCCCCAGGGAAGGGCAGACATGGACTCTAACACCCTTAGGCACCAGCTCTGTGCTGGAGGCAGTTTACCTTGAGCCTCAAAACCACTCAGCACTGCCCAGGTGGGCAGGGACCCTCCTGAGGTGCCTGTGGCTGGCACTGCTCACCTGGTTCCCTCCAGATTCCGAAGGAACCAGCCCCTTTCCTTCCCTGCTGCCGCTGTGGAAGTCCCTTTCCCAGTGCCCTGCATCCCATCACGGGGCTGGAGCAGCAGCGAGGGAGCCAGGGCTGAGCGAGGGAGTTGCTGGGCTGAGGTACCTCAGGCACAGTGACTGTCCCGGCCAGCGCTGAGGGGCTGTGCAGGGGGCACAGTGAAAAACCTCCTCTCTTCCCATCGGGGACTCTAGAGTGAGTCCTGATTGTCCTCGGGCTCCCAGGCAGCGGCGCTGGGGGTGTGGGTGGCAGTGCCGTTGATGTCCCTCAGGGGGTGGTACCGATAGTCCCCGCCCTGCCGCTCCGACCGCGCCCTCAGCACCAGCCCCACGTTCCCCAGGGCACTGAGCACCAGCAGCAGGGCCAGCCCGCAGCTCAGGGACAGCCACGAGCTCCTGGGGGACAAGAAGAATCCACGTAAGCAACAGCTCGGCCTGTGTCGGGCGTTCCGGGGTGCAAATGATTTGTCAAGGGTTGTCCTCCTTTCTCTGCCTTCCCAAGTTTGTGGTCCTGCTCTCAGGCAGGAGGGAATCAGGGAATTCTTTAGGCTGGAAAAGCCCTCTAAGACAATCAAGTCCCCTGGTGCTGCCAAGGCCACCGCTAACTGATGTTCCCAAGTGTCACATCCACAGGCTTTTAAATCCCCCCAGGGTTGCTGACTGCCCTGGGAGCTGTGCCAGGGCCTGACCACCTTTTCCATGAAGAAATTTCCCCAATATCCAAACCTCCCCTGGCACAACTTGAGGCCCTTTCCTCTCGTCCTGTCCCTTGTTCCCTGGGAGCAGAGCCCAACCTCCCCAGCTCCCTCCTCCTGTAAGGGGGTTACAGAGTGAGAAGGTCCCCCCTGAGCCTCCTTTCCTCCAGGCTGAGCCCCACCCCATGCCCTGTGCCAGCCTCTGAGGTACGCAGTGTGTACCACCCACTTACTCTGACAGAGAGAATCTTCCTGTGCTCCTCTCCTTATTCTGGGAAGCCAAACACTGTCCAGCTGGAAAACAACGAGGGAAGAAAGGCAGTGTTGGGCAGGAGGGTGTAAAATTCCACCAAAAAAAGAGCAAGCTTAAGCAGAGCTGGTGACTAAACCACTGTTCTGCACTAAGGCTGCTCTTTCAATGGTTTTTTACAGCCCCCAGGCCCTGTAGGTACCTCTGTGCAGCTGCTCCTGCAGGTCGTGGGTGGTGTTGCAGCTGCCGCTCTGGCGGTCGCAGGGACACGAGTGCTCACACTCACACTGGCTCTGGCAGTTGGGCCCAAACCAGCCCAGGGGACACTCTGGGGAGTTGAGACAAAGAGGTTGGTCATTGCCAAAGCTCCACCCACGCTGGAACCACCCAGGCTGCAGCTCCCCCAGCTCAGCTGAGCCTGCAGCAGGCTGGGAGCACCACCCTGGGAGTTCTCTGCTGCTGTTTTGTGTGTCGGGGAAGTTTCAGGGATCACAGAATCCCAGCATGGTTTGGGCTGGAAGGGACCTTAAAGCTCATCCAGTCCCACCCCATGCCATGGGCAGGGACACCTTCCACCAGCCCAGGCTGCTCCAAGCCCTGTCCAGCCTGGCCTTGGACACTTCCATGGATGGGGCAGCCACAGCTTCTCTGGGCAACTCCTCTGGGCTGGAGCTGTCTGAGCATTCCCAGGCTGGAACACCATCACTAATGGAACCAGGCACACGTGGAATTTACACCCTGCTGTATTAACTTGTTCACTGGGATCCACAGGGCCCCAGGTGCCTCAGAGAAGCTGGAGTGGTGACACAGGGGAGAACAGCGCCAGCCCCATATGCACTGGCACAAGGACAGCCGGACTGGGAAGGTGGGATGGCACCACAGCCTCTGGAGCGCTCCACAGGCACCGACCTGGATCACCTGAAGCCCGGGCTACAGGCAGGGTCTGGTGCAACACCCTGGAAGAGTGGATGATCCTGTTCTACACTCAGGAGCTTTGGGGCTGAGACTAAACAGAAATTCACCATTTTCTGTTGATGAAGAAAACTCCTCCCTCCTCTCTGCTCCTTGCTGTCCTTTTTAGGACAGGAAGAGCCGAGGAGCCAGCAGGTGACACCCCAGCTGTGACATTCACGCCTGAGCCCACCTGGCAAAACCTTCCTCTTGCTTTGCCTACAAGAGGTGGCTCAGAGGTGACACAAAACCCTGACCCTCCCAGCCCAGGTGGCCCTTCAGAGCAGCCCTTACCGTGCTCACAGCTGGTGCCATAGAAGCCAGGGGGGCAGGCACAGGTTCCGTTCACGGGGTCACAGGAGCCACCATGCTGGCACTGGCATTTCTGGCTGCAAGATTCCCCATAGAGACCAGGAGCACAAGCTGCAGAGACAAGCAGGGAGGTCATCAGGGCCCTCACTGCACGGTGACACACCCCAGCACAGCCACAGCTGGGGGTGTTTGGCCTCTCCCTCTTGGGAAGTGGTGCCTGGTCCCCTCTCCCTGGCTGTGAGAAGCAGAGTGCAGTAGCAGTATTTACCTTCTGTGCAGTTGCTGCCAGTCCAGCCGGCATCACACAGGCACCCAGCTGTGCAAACACATGGAACAGCCATTAATGACAACAAAAAAACCGCTTGGAAACAGCAGGGATGCAAAATTAGGAGCCACTGCCTCTTGAGGTGCCCCCTCGCCCCTGCCAGGAACCCCCCGGAGGAGGAACCCTGCACTCACACACAGGGTGGGTTCCCCCACTGCAGCTGCCAAAGGCAGCAGAATCCCTGCTGAGGGGATTCCCTGGGATCAGCTCTGGGCCAGCTGCTGCACCCCTACACCCCCCACGCTCTGCTCAGTCACTGCACTGTGCACACCTGAATGAGAGGGGAACCAGAGCAAGGCAGGGAGAACAGGACTGAGCAGCACAGAGGGGCAGACGCTGGGGGTGGACATTCCAGCAGTCCCTGGCTTTGAAATGAGTTTATGAAGATGTGGCAATGGCACAGTCATAAAAATCCTGAAGTAGGAGAGGCAAGTAAAGCAGGAACAGTAAAGGGATGGGGCAGAACCAGCTGCTGCCACACACCGTAATACACTGCCCTGCCTCAAAAAAACCTGAAACAACCCTGGGGCAGGAAGCGAAACTGAGACCCAGAGCTTGACATCAAGGCTGATTCCAGGCCCAGTTCCCAGGCCTGAGCCCAGCTCTGCCCTGCTGGCTCCTGAAGTGTTCTGCTCATCCCCACTGCTGCTCCAGCTGCTGCAGGGCAGGGGCAGTGGGAGGGCAGCCCCAGCAGCCAGCCAGGCACAGGACATTCCCAGGGCCGCAGCGCCCGGGGCAGCACCCCCAGCCCCTCTCCCGGACTCACAGGCGGTGCAGAGGCCGTGCAGGCTGCAGTTGGCAGGGCCACAGTCCAGGCTGTCACAGGCAGGGCCTGTCCAGAAGGGCCCGGAGCAGCGGCAGAGGCCGGCCTGGCACAGCCCGTGCCCGCTGCAGTCGGGGGGGTCGCAGCCCGGCTCGTGCACGCACACCACGGTGGAGACGCGCCGGGGGCAGCGCCACGTGCTGTCAAAGGAGCTGGGGGGACACAGGAGGGGACACTTGAGCTGTGCAGGCACTGAGCTGCCCCAGCCCCACCCAGAACCATCCTCGTTCACACTGGCCAACAGCAATGTTAATAGTAGGAAAATATACACGGAAAGCAAGATTTGAGCCAGTGTTTTAACTAACCATTAAATCCCCACTGGATAGGAGGGATTTCAAACGTGGAATTACAGAAGCAATGCACAAAGTCTCCCTTTAAGCACTCTCAGCTTCCCCAGTTTTGGTATCCAACGTGCTTTTCCCTGAATGTTATTTGCTTTGATATAAATTATATTTTTGCAGTTAGGGGGACTGAGTGTTAAATCCCTCCATGTTTACAGTCAGATATGACTAAGAAGCTGAATTTAAAGTAAAATGTCCTTTAGGTTCCCCCCTGAGGCAGGGCAGGGTCTCCAAGGTAGTGGTTGTCTTCCATAAGCTGCTGCCAGATCTCTGCTAATTCCCATGAAAAGTGCAGCTCTGCATCTCCCAGTCTAAGAGCTGCTGCCTTATCCGATTCCCACATCAGGCCACTCAGTCACAGCTTTGCTGCCTGTCTGAAACCAGCTCAGCTTTAATCCTGGCTGACTGAGTGGAAAAAATATGGAGTCACTCAATTGCTTAAAACTTTAGAGCCTCTCTCTCTCCCCCAGATCCTGTCACCTGCCTCTGCTGTGCCCTCCTGGCTGAGCTGGGGGCAGGACTGGGCTCTGCATCCCAACAGGAGCTGCAGGGCCACCTGTGCGGCCCTGGGCACGAGCCACCAGCACCTACCAGTGCTCAGAGGGGTAGTTGGCAAGGGTCCCGTTTAAGACCAGCGTGGCAGAGCCTCCACCATCCAGGTTGATGGCATTGACGACTCCCTGCTGCTTCAGGAATTCTGCCATTTCCCACAGGTTGACCCTGCAAAGCAAGGGTGATTTGCTGATTTGACTTCAGTGAAGCTGCTGTGGTAGAAGTCTGTCACCCTCCTCGGTGGGAGGAGCAGCTCTCCCATCCCGGCCACCCTGACTCGCTGTCTGGGGGCTGCGGGAGCCTTCCCTGGCTCCCCTGAGCTCTGCGAGTCTCTACCTTAAAACACAGCCCTGGCAGCTGCAGGGTCGCTCCAGCTGAGGGATTTCAGGCCTTCCCCAAGCCCTTACCCCCTGGATTCCGTCTGTCCATCCACGTGGACCAGGACCAGCCGGCCCTGGCGATCGTGTCCCACCGCAGTCCTGGCCGAGATCACATCGATGAACTTGTCGAAGGTCCCTGTGCAGGAGAGGGAACAATTCACACCCCAGCTGGGCCAAGATGGGCTGTTCACACCCCTCTGTCTGCAAACCAGCTCCCAGCAAGGGCTCCCCTGAACTGAGCCAGTGAGAGCACAGCCTGGGCTCCTCCTGCTCGTCCAAGCCCCACAGAAGTGCTCCTGATTAAGTTTTTGTCTGGCAGAGACAAAGCAAGGGATCCACCAGCCCACAGTTCTAAACTCCTGTAAGAGGCAACTGCTCTGAGTTTCTCTTCACAGGTTAGATGGGATAGCAGGGAAAAACTGTTCCCTGTGAGGGGGTTGGGCAGGCCCTGGCACAGGTTGCCCAGAGAAGCTATGGCTGCCCCATCCCTGGAAGTGTCCAAGGCCAGGTTGGATGGGCCTTGGAGAATCCTGGGATATTGGAAGGGAGGTTGAAACAAGGTGGTCTCTAAGGTCTCTTCCAACCCAAACCATTCCATGATTCCATGGAAGTGCCCCTCCTTCCAAGATCCCCGTGGGAAGGACACTCCATGGCCAGGCTCCCCAGGGTTTACCTGTGGTTTGAGTGTCCCCACACTCGGCCATCCGGCTCTCATTGACGTAAACTTCTCCATCTCTGAGGAGCCAAACCACCCCACTCACAAGCTGCACAAAAGGGTTTGTTTGATCCAAGACATCCTCCTCAGACAGGTAACTAGGAGAGAGAGAGCAGGAGGGGTTACCCACGGTCACAGCAGTGTCAGGTAAGAGCCTCTCCTGCTGCCAGCAGGCTCCAGAAACAGGGAGAGGGGGATAGGTGTTGGAATAAAGGGGTCACATCCAAAAGCAGAGGCCAAGCAGTGTGAAACATCACTTCAGCAGCCAGAGTGGCCCCTGTGCTCTGCTCTTCTGCACAAACCCAATGTGGCCAGTGGACCTGAGCCAGGACAGCAGGGGCAGAAAGCATCTGGCAGAACACAAGGTAAGAGCCACTGCCAAAGGCTCAGGGATCTGTGGCAGCAGCTGTAACATCCTGCTGCCTGTCAGCTTCCACCCTCCACAGCTGTGACACCAACCAGCTTTGGAGAGGACTTGGAGCTGCAGCATCCAGCCCCCTGCAGCTGCACGGAGGGGGAGACTCTGCTGGATGCTCCATCTGGGAAGAGCTTCCTCTGCTCCCCCAGGCAGCAAACCCTGCCACTAAACAGCCAGGCAGTAAAAGCACTGTCCAGCTGCCACTTCCACGCTCGGGTGTTGTTTGTCACCACAGGGGGCTTCCCAAGGGACAGCCCTCCCTCAAGGATCAGGGTGATGAGCAACACCTGCCTCACCAGAGCCTGGTGCTGGGTGATGTTTGTAACAGGAGAGGCAGGAGCAGGGGCTGCAGCTGGACAGCTGAGCTCTGGCTGAGCTCTGCCTGTGCTTTTGGGTTTAAAACTGTCTCTTGTGGTATGCTGTGGGAACTGGATACTCAACTTTTAGTTGTTTAGTATCCATGACTGTGGGCAAACAAAGCCTTTTGCTTTGTAAGAAGGTGTAATTGCAAATACCTGAACGAAAAACATGGGAAAAGAAGTCCCTTTCCCCAAGGGAAGGGAACACAAAGACAACACGAACACGGCTGAGAATGGATCAAACCACACAACAGCTTGGGCATTTTAAAGCCTGAAATCCCCCGTTATCAGCCCAGAAAGGGGCAACAGCTCTGCAGGGTGGGGGTAACAGTGTGCCCTGTGCTCCATCCTGCTGGTCACGATGCAGTGAAAGACTGAAAGGTGAATTACTTTCCTCACTGCCCTGACAGCCCAAATTATTTACACCCAAACTATTTCTAGGTCATGGTTTGGAAGCCACAAAGCCACCGAGCACCCCTGACAGGGACACTCTGCCAGAGCAGGAGAGAGCAGGGCAGAGCTGAGATTAAGGACCTTGCAGTTGCTGTTGGTCCCCTCAAGAGAAGCCCCCTCACTAAAGACATGTCAGCACCTCAGGCAGTCCCTGTGCCACAGAAGTGAAGGCCTTGGTGCTCAGGGCTGTCAGAGAACACCTGCAGGATGAAGCCCTGGCTTGGCACAGCCAGTTTGGCTTTGCAGGGACCCTTGCTGAGGCCTGGGAGGGAGCTACCAGAAGGGTGGGGAATGCAGCCAGCAGCTGCAGCAGCTTCCAGGCTGCTGCTCCATCTTCTGAAACCATCAGAAGGACCCTGGGAGCCCTTCTGAGCCCTTTGGGGTTGCTGCAGCTCCTGAGGCCTTTCATTCCAGGGAGCACCACAGTCCCTCTGCCCAGCTATTCCTCACCTGAGGGTTCTGTCTGCAGCTGCCTGGGAGTGTCACACACCAAGGGGGACAATAAGGCCAGTGGACCAGCCAGTGTGGCTGGAGCAGCAGGCCCAGGGCAGTGCCCACCCCTGTGCTGGCACTGCTGGGGCACCTCCAGCCCTGGGGGCAGTTCTGGGCCCCTCGACAAGAGAGACACTGAGGGGCTGGAGCGTGTGCAGGGAAGGGAACAGAGATGGGAAGGGGCTGGAGCAGCAGGAGCAGCTGAGGGAGCTGGGGGGGCTCAGCCTGGAGAAAAGGAGGCTCAGGGGGGACCTTCTGGCTCTGCAACTCCCTGACAGGAGGAGGGAGCCAGGGGTGGGTCAGGCTCTGCTCCCAGGGAACAAGGGATGGTAAAGGGGAAATGGCCTAAAGTTGTGCCAGGTGAGGTTTAGATGGATATTGGGAAAACTTCCTCATGGAAAGGGTGGTCAGGCCCTGGCACAGCTGCCCGGGGCAGTGGTGGAGTCCCCATCCCTGAAGTGTTCAGAAAACAGGTTTGCCCAGAGAGAGTGTGGAGTCTCCATCCTCAGAGATGTTCAAAACCCAGCTGGACATGGCCTGAACAGCCTGCTCCAGCCAACCTGTGCTGGATGAGGCTCCTCCTGAGGTTCTTTCCAAGCCCAGCCTTTCTGTGCTGCAGCCAGAGCAGACTCAGAGTCCACTCTGTCTCTTCTCTTGGGGAGGTCAGAGCCCTCCCACCCTTCAACCACCATCAAGTGTCCCTGCTGCATGTTGGGAGAGGAGACACTGGAACCTAACCAGTTAGAGATCATCACAATAACTTATCCAGCTTCCTTTCATCCTAGGAGAGGTAGCTGCATGGGGTACAGGTAGAACATCCCTAACTTCAGCATTCAACGTGTGCTTCTCCTGCAGCTGGGAGAGGCCGAGGAGGCAGTGCCCGGGATGAGCTTCCTGCCCCAGTGATGCCCAAAAGCCTTCAGCGTGGAGAGTGCTCTCCACACGGCCCCAGCTCTTACCCGAACACCATGGTGCCATCCTTCCGGATGCCAAACTGAGCGTTCTGAATCCCTCCAGAGTTCAACACCAGCTTCCCATCGCTCACCACGTTGCCCAGGCACTCTCCGGTGTCCATGTTGAAGTACCCGCCGTTCTGGGCCACCAGACAGCTCCCGAGCCGGGCTGTCTCCTGCACGGTGGCTCTGCGGTGCTCCCGGCAGCCGCCGGCGCCGCCCGGCTCCAGCACCGACAGGGTCCGCAGGGGGTTCCTCACGAACGTGAAGTGCCCGTAGAGCACCTTGCGGTCGCTGCCCTCGGGGGGGAAGTACGAGACGAACGTCCTGGTGGCGGCCACCGGGCCGGCCGTGCTGGCGTCGCCGGGCCAGGTCTCGTGTGTGACATTGCCGTACCTGCGGGGCTGGCAGTCCCGGACGTGCCGGTGGCCGTGCCGGGGGCCGTGCGGGCCCGGCGAGTAGGGCTGGAGCGCGGGGCCGCCTGCAACGGGGGGGCTCCTGCAACGAGAACGCGCGGCTGCCAGGGCTGCGAGTGCGGGGACGGGAGCGGCTCGAGGCAGGGGGCACGGCCCCGCTGACACCCCGGCCCCGCTGCCCCCGTGTCCCCGGGGCTCGGGGGGTCTGCCCCGCTCAGCACAGAACCACCAGCCGGGCCTCGGGAGCCGGGGAAAGACCCGCCCCGGGGCAGGCGGTGCCCGGACACTCACCCGGCGCCGCGGGCCACCTGCAGCCAGCCGAGCACCGCCAGCGCCAGGACCGCACCGACCCCCGCCCGGCCCGGGCCTGGGCCAGCCCTGGCCCCCGCCGCTCGCCCGGGCCCCCGCCCGCGGCCCCCGCCGCCCCACACGGCGCCATCTTGGCGGGCGCTCGGCGGGCGGCACCGGCAGCGCCCCCTGGCGGGCGGCGGGAACGGGCGGGGGTCGGTGCGGAGTCAGGACAGAGACCCCTGAGGGACAGGGACAGGATAGATCCCTGAGGGACACGGAGCGGGACAGAGATCCCTGAGGGACACGGGCGGGACAGAGATCCCTGAGGGACACGGGCAGAGATCCCTGAGGGACACGGAGCGGGACAGAGATCCCTGAGGGGATGCTGCCATTTTGTGTGTCAAGGGGAAGTTTCAGAGAATCCCAGCATGGTTTGGGCTGGGAGAGACCTTAAAGCTCCTCTTGTCATGTCTTGCCATGGGCAGGAACACCTTCCACCAGCCCAGGTTGCTCCAAGCCCCGTCCAACCTGGCCTTGGACACTTCAGGGATGAGGAAGCCACAGCTTCTCTGGGCAACCTGTGCCAGGGCCTGCCCACCCTCACAGGAAAGAATTTTTTCCCAGTATTCCATCTAACCCTGCCCTCTGGCAGTGGGAAGCCATTCCCTGTTGTCCTGTCACCTCATCAAAATTCCCTCTCCAGCTCTCTTCAGGCATTTGATTCTGTAAATGTTGTGCTCCAAAGGCAGGTGCCCCTGTGCCTGGGGGAGCAGGGCAGTGGAGCCACAAGCCCAAGGCCATATTGCAGGTGGAAAAGCCGGTGTTTCCATGGTCAGTGCCAAGAGGTGGATAACGCCCAGCTCTCCCAGGGTAACTGCACCTGGTACAGGTAAGCTTGCTGCGGTCTCAGGTACCTTGTAGGTGGAAAAACGTACTTTTATTTCACAAATTAACCACAAAACTCCCACAGCACAAGCCACTGAATTGATTATCTTAGCAAATGGGTTACTGTGCCTCCACTTTCATTCAGCTGTGGAGAGCTGCAGGTGTCCTGCTTGTGCTTCCAGCTGCAAACAAGCTGCACCATGGAACTTCAGGGTGACTGCATGTGGTTTCCATGGTCTAAACTCAGCTCTGTGAAAAGCATGAGTAGAGGTCTGCAGGAGCTCACTCAGGATCGTGCTTGGTCTTTTGCTCAAACACCTTCCACTTTTCACAGGGAACTAAGGGTTCCAGCAGGAGGATTCCACCCCATTCCCAAGCTCACCCTGTCTTTTGTGCAGCTTTCAGGAGAGGCCAGGATCACAACTTGGGTTGTAGAATCCACGGACCGAAAGCTGCCTTTGGAATCCACAGGGAACGGAAACCTCTTGCAAAGTGGAGTGAAAACAAAGCAGTATTTGAAAACTCAATAGTCTTTCAACATAGTGAGTTTACTTTGCAGTTAATTTCCTCTCTAAAGCAGCCCCTTCCAGCTCACTAATATTGAATGTAAGTGGAATACAAATGACTTGTTTTTGCAGAGCTTTTCAAAGAGGGAAGGGTGGCATTGCCAGAATTTCAGTGTTTGTTTCAGGTGACACATAATTTCATCACTAATGGAAATAACTATCTGTTGTTAAAAATAACAAGTCTCCATTTCAAGCATGGCACAAACACATTCACCTCCCCAAAAAACAGAGTCTAAAGTCCAAGTATGTGCAGGTGCTGGGCAAACACCTTGTGACCACACTGGGCTGAAAGAATCTCAACAGCTGAGCTGTCCTGGGCTTTGGTATGAAAACACAGCCCTAAACCTGAGGTAGGTCATAGTCTAAGTCAGGCTTTAAAGCCATAATCTAATACTAATTCCACCTCTGTCTTGCACATGAATTTCAACCCAGCTCTAAAAATTAGGGAATGAACACAATTAACAAGTATTTGACCCTTTTCCTGTAATTTAAAAAATTTTAGTTGTGAAAAAATGTGTCTAATAATTCACTAATTTGAATTTGCCTGCAGAACTTACTGGGAATCAGCCATATACACTGGCTCTACTCTTTCTGAATAACTTATTTCCCTTCTTCCTCTTCTATGCCCTGAGTGGAAATAAAAAATGTGTTTCTGTAACCTACACCCGTATCTGATAAAAAGATGTCTAAGCCAATACAAACCAGTCAGGAGAAACTGGTTTGGGGAAGTTGTGTAAAAATTTCCTAGGGCACTTCTTTTACCTTCACCCTTTACTTAGGGATTTTTTTTGGGGTGGGAAGAAAATAAATAAAGCAAACAAAAAGCAGCTGGTGAGGTTAAAAAGAACATGATGATATAGCACAGCTTCTGTGCTCTGAACCCTGGTTGTGTTGGTGAGCACTGTGAGTCCATACTCTCACAGTGCAGGTGTGATTGGTGCAAATACTTATTACTGAGATATTCCATGTTAATCTTTTCAGTGCAAATTCAAAAAATGCAATTTTTAAAAAGGTTTGTACTACATATATTATGTGTCAATAGAAGTAGCAAAGGAGCATGGGGTTTTGTGAGGTTTGCTCAAGATATTTGAGTTGGAGATTCCTGGAATGAGTGAAGTTCCACCAGTCAGAGGGATTTTGGCTGCTCTGTCTCTGTTTATTGCAACTCACAGCAGTCCATCAAGTGGAGGAGGACTGGGAATGGAGCTTAAACAGACTATTTCTAGGGTAGACTGCAAAACTTTCTGAAATGTTACAGGGAAAAAAGACAGGAAAATTCTTTTGAAAAACACAACTGCTATTCAATAAATAGGAAACATTTTACAGGCAGAAATCATTTCTCTCTCAAAATGTCTTTCTCATAAGCGCATTCCTGTTTTCAGAGCCTCAGCCAGAAGAGATGACTGCACTCAAAATATTTATCTTTCTCCAGCTAAGTGCTCTGAAGATTAGGTAGGTCAAAAGGACTTTTATTGCACTCTACCTTCATAAACTCAAGTCACTGTATCCAGAAAGCTCATACATTTGTGATTTTAAGTAGTTTGATAACCTGACAGAAAACAGGGCTGTGTGGAATTGGGGCCTGACAGCCTGCAGGAATCCAGTCCCTCATTCCATCGCAGGACAGGATCTTTGCACTTTATTCAAGGAAGTAAAGGGAAAAGCAATTTGCATTTTGCATTAAAATGGTATTAAAATGTGAGACAGTGTGGGACAGTGAGGCTTTTTCACAGCCCCAAACCTGCCAGAGCTCAAGGAGCATTTGGACAATGCTCTCAGGGACGGGGTGGGATTGTTGGGGTGGGATTGTTGGGGTGTCTGTGCAGGGCCAGGAGTTGGACTGGATGATCCCTGTGGGTCCCTTCCATCTCAGGAGAGTCTATGATCCTATGCTTTCTCAGTTAGAAAAAGATGGATCCTCAAGCATATATTCCAGTCTTTATTATCTTGTGGAACCCGTCTGCCCAGCCTTGTGATTAGTTCTTGCTTTAAGAACAGTGGTTTCATTGTTACCACGTACTTGCTGGTCGGCAGTAAGGGGGAGTTACAGTGGAATGTAGCATCCATCAGCTGGTTTTGTCACAGGGGTCAAAGAGGCATGACTGGAGTAGCAGGAAACCTTTCAGATGGGTGGCCGTGAGGGAAGGCAGAGAGAGTCATAGAATCACAGAATATCTTGAGCTGGAAGGGACCCACAGGGATCATCAAATCCAACTCCTGGCCCTGCACAGACACCCCAACAATCCCACTCTGGCCTTCAGAGCGTTGTCCAAACCCTCCTGGAGCTCTGGCAGCCTTGGGGCTGTGCCCACTGCCCTGGGGAGCCTGTTCAGTGCCAACCACCCTCTGGGGGAAGAACCTTGTCCTGAGATCCAACCTGAGCCTGCCCTGGCACAGCTCCAGCCATTCCCTGGCTGCTGTCCCTGCTCACCAGCATCCTTCATTTGTGTCTTTAACCTTATTTGTAATGAAGAAATACCATTTGTCCTCTGCCTTGTCTGACACGTTGTATTGGATCCCTGGCCAGTCCAACTAATTTAGTTTTAAACTTATGCACAACTTAACAATTTTTCACCGTGGGGTTCAGTCACTTCTATGGGGCCTTGGCAAGATAACAGAGCAAATGTTTCTGTTGGGAGGCTTCTGTTCACTCTTGGCATCTGTATTTCCACCAGAAAACAGGGATCAGCAAACTGAAAACAGATGGAAAATACTTATTACCTACATGTATGAAAACCCCGTGGGATGCAGGGATTTAGTACTTGGTAGGTACTGGCACTACTTTACTGGTAGGATCAGGGCTTGAGACAACAAACTGAAGGAAGTAATTCAGATCCAGTGAAGATCTCTTTAGGATTTAGCTGAATTTGAGCTAAAAGAACCCAAACACATTGAATAGTAATGGAGCCGTGCTGGAATCACCCCTGGCTGCGGGATGATCTAAAATTTGCTGGGAACCCCCACATCGTGGAGGACTGTCCGGCAGTGCTGTAATTAATTACACTCGCCGTAACGAATTAACCCTGTCTCTAATTGATTGCCCCTCTCCGTAATTACCCTCCCCCGTGGTTCCCGCCGCCCCAGCGGGGTCCCCTCAGAGCGCGGCGCCTCCGCGCCGCCAGGGGGCGCCCTCCGCGCGGGTGGCGGTGCCCAAGATGGCGGCGCTGGGCCCGTGGCCGTGGCCGTGGGTGGCGGGCGCGGCGGTGGCGGCTCTGCTGCTGCTGCTGCCGCTGCTGCCGCTGCTGTGGCGGCGGCGGCGGCGGGCGGCGCGGGCCGGGTGTGCGTGGCGGTGCTGGGGGACGTGGGCCGCAGCCCGCGGATGCAGTACCACGCGCTGGCGCTGGCCCGGCACGGGCGCGAGGTCGCGCTGCTGGGCTACCTCCGTGAGTGGGGGGCGGCGGGGCCGGGCGGGCCTGGGGGGGCCGCGCCGCTGACCGCGCTGTCCCCCGCAGAGAGCCGGCCGGGGGTCGCGCCGCTGACCGCGCTGTCCCCCCGCAGAGAGCCGGCCGCACCGGGACGTGCTGCGGAGCGCCCACATCCGCCTGGTGCCCGTGGCCGAGCTGCGCGGGCTGCGAGGTGCGTGAGGGGCCGGGGGCGCGGGGGTAGCGAGGAATGAGCTTTGGGCGGAACAATAAACCCCCCGGAGCGGCCCGAGCGTGTGCGTGTCCAGCCCCTCTGCGATCAGAGCTGCGCACCCTGATCTCCCTCCTCTCCATCTACCTGCTTGGTAGCGGGGCACTTGCTGCCGTTCGGATGCAGAGCGAAACGTGGAACTGTTTTTTGTTTGCCCCTTTCCACTCCCAACTTGTGTGTTTGTCACTGTTGCCCAGAGAAGCTGTGGCTGTCCCATCCCTGGAAGTGTCCAAGGCCGGGTTGGATGGGGCTTGGACCAACCTGGGCTAGTGGAAGTTGTCCTTGTCCATGGCAAGGGGTAGCACTGGATGGGCTTTAAGGTCCCTCCGACCAAACCATGCTGGGATTCTATGACTTCTTTCTATACAAAATACAAATGGGAATTTATAGGGACCATGAGGTATTTACTTAGCTTTGTAATGATCATAGAACAGAATCAAAGAACCCTTTAGGTTGGAAAAACCCTCTAAGATCATCGAGTCCAACTGTTCCACCAGCACTCCCAAGCCACCACTAACTCATGTCCCCAGGTGCCACATCTACATGGCTTTTAAATCCCTCCAGGGCCAATGACTCTACCCCTGTCCTGGGCAGCTGGGCCAGGGCCTGACCACCCTTTCTGAGAAGAAATTTTATCAATATCTGATATAAATCTCCCCTGGCACAACTTGAGGCTGTTCCCTCTCCTCCTGTCCCTTGTTCCCTGGGAGCAGAGCCCAATCCCCCCCGGCTCCCCCCTCCTGTCAGGGAGTTGCAGAGCCAGAAGGTCCCCCCTGAGCCTCCTTTTCTCCAGGCTGAGCCCCCCCAGCTCCCTCAGCTGCTCCTGCTGCTCCAGCCCCTTCCCAGCTCCGTTCCCTTCCTTGCACACGCTCCAGCCCCTCAGTGTCTTTCCTCTCATGGTCCATCCTGCCCAGATCCCTCAGCAGAGCCTTCCAACCCTCAAGCAGATGAACACTCCCACTCAACTCGGTGCCATCTCCAAACTTGCTGAGGCTGTGCTCAGTCACTTATGCAGTTCGTGGATAAAGATATTAAACATGTTTCCATTTTTACAGGATACCTTTATTTTAACGCTCTCTCTGCAGAGCTGGCTGGCTCTGTGATGATGTGCACATTTCTGGGGGGAGAACTGTAATATTCTCACCAGTTTTCCTGTCATTTTGCAGTGGGTCCAAAGCTTTTCCAGTACGTGGTAAAGGTCCTTGTGCAGTCAGTGCAGTTGCTGTACACACTGCTGAGGATAGATCAGCCCTCCTATATTCTTCTTCAGGTATGTTTTGTGGGGGACTCATTTTAATAAAAACAAATACTGCTACTTCACAAGGCATTTTCAGAAGTCTTCAGACACTGTTCTAGTTATTTGAGAGCTGAACTGGCTTCATCAATGGTGTAAACCTGTATCAAAAGTATTTTTTTGCCTCCAAACTTTGGTTTTTCTGTTAGCAACTCAGGTTTGCTCTTCCTGTTGATTGTTGGGCTTTTAAACTTCATTGGCATGGGCAGTAGTAAAGAATAACTCTCACTAGAAATGCTGTTGTGTTTATTGGAGGGGGATTTTGATCCTGATCCGAGGTGAAATTTGAAGTGCCTACCAGTCTTCATAGGTGAATACAAATCGTCTCTGGTCATTAAGCTCCTTTAAAGCGATGTAATTTCAATAATTGGATGTTTTTTGCTGGTAGTTGCTTTGTGTTTGTCACTTGACCACACTCTTACGCTGTTTCTGGTTTATTTTGGAGCAGAATCCCCCAGGCTTACCCAGTATAGCTGTTGCCTGGGTGGCAGGTCTGTTCTGGAGGAGCAAACTGATCATTGATTGGCACAACTATGGATACACCATAATGAGTCTGAGTCACGGGAGGAACCACCCGCTAGTGCGGATTGCAAAATGGTTTGTACAGTCACTTCTGCTCCTCTAAATTACATAGCTGGGGAGGA